CTGGTCATTTTGGTGCTAGCCCACTTAACTATTGAACACATTATAGGAATAAAGCCAATCAACAAATAGGAGCTTGGGGTTAGGTAGCAAGTGTCACTTCATGCAGGTAATATTGAAAGAACCAAGAACACACCTTTCACTACCAAAGAAGGCAAGGCTCAGGTCAAGGGACCATCTTTTTATATTTTTAAATATATTTTTATTGATTTCAGAGAAAGGAAGGGAGAAGGAGAGAGAAACATCAATGATGAGACAGAATCATTGATCAGCTGCCTCCTGCACACCTCCTCCTGAGGATTGAGCCTGAAACCCAGGCATATGCCCTGACCAGGAATCACACCCTGACCTCCTGGTTCATAGGTCAACCATTGGACTCAAGGGACCGTCTTGATTCCCTCAGCAAGCAGGTGTAGCTGGACAAGGGAAGAGGGTCCTACCATAGTCCTTGACCTGGTTTCCCAGGTGAGGAAGTCAGTGAACAGGTGGAAGAAGGATGTTCACTAATGTTTGAAGATACCATCCAGGCTTGAAAATTCCTTGAAGGCTTATGTTCTGCCTTTTACGCTATTGTACTTTTTCAGATCATAAAGCAGGGGCCTTGAAATATAATATTTGCAAGTCCTGTTGGCTAGCAGACTCAGCTTGAAAAGCATCTTTCCTTTCTTCTACCTGATTGGACAGAACAAGTTAAACACAACTGAGTCTATCTAATCTTTCACATTCTGGGTGTTATGTCAAATCTCTCTCATCAGGTGTCTTAAACTGAGAGATTTCATTTTGTTTGCTTTCTGGACCTCAAAGTCACGATCCCTGAAGGTCAGCAATGAGAGGCCCGAAATGCTCGTCCGGATCCTGATGGGAGATACCCAGCTCAGCAAGACACTGCCTCTCAGGATATTTCTGTGGAAACCAATGGCTACATTTAAACAAAAAAAGACATCCTTCAATGGCTGGCGTTCTGAAACCTGAGCAACACTTACAAGAAGGAGATGGTGATTTAAAAGGCTAATCACCTCCCAGAACTGCAGTTGCCTCCAGCACACTTCTACAAATTGCTCTGGATCCAACAGCCTGCACTGCTTAAGCTGAGTCATTGCACTGAATCTGCATCCACAGCTTCTATTGGAGCACTTTACACTGTCATAAATTAATAAAGATGCTGACAGACACGGTATTCTTGTCTGACTCAGGACACATCCTAATCTTCCTGGCCAGCCCTTCTGCCTAAATAAATTTCACCTAGACAGCCAGTGTGTTATAAAAATTGAACATAGTGGAAATTCTAGGGTGAGGATATTTCTGTTCACGGATTAAGATGAGATTCCAAGTCAGGATATGCAAAAATAATCGTTTTCCATAGGAAGGAACCAGTATTAGTTAGACAAAATGTTTGCCAACAAAAGCTCAGTTTCTGAGGCTGAATTTCCACTAAACGCTCAAAAAATACATAAAAGCTGCCCGGCCAGTAAACAGTGACTCAGTGCCCTTGGATTTAGTCCCTTTCATTTCCCATCTACTTACTTATCTCAAAGGTTCCACTTGCCAATTCTTTGAACTCCAAGACCAAATACTATCCATTTGAAAGACCATCCTCTTCCAGAGAAGATAATAAGCTAAACACACAGATGACTGGTAGGGGCTCTTCCAGACCTGCCAACTAGCAGGTCAGACTTAAGGTCTAACACATGAGAGTATAAGAAATATGTTGGCGATACAGTATGACAGTAACTCAGCCTTGACTCAAGACTTTTAAGATAACAGTCTCGAAGAGGCTTCTCAACCAGACATTGGACTGTATTTTCTCATGAAACCCAAAAGGAAAGCCATCATTTCCATCTGCATCATTAGCAGCATCTTCAAAAGCATCCTGCCAGCACCTGCCAACATAAACCTTTAAGCAGTGGTTCTCAACCTTCTGGCCCTTTAAATACAGTTCCTCATGTTGTGACCCAACCATAAAATTATTTTCGTTGCTACTTCATAACTGTAATGTTGCTACTGTTATGAATCGTAATGTAAATATCTGATATGCAGGATGGTCTTAGGTGACCCCTGTGAAAGGGTTGTTTGACCGGCAAAGGGGTCGCGACCCACAGGTTGAGAACCGCTGCTTTGGAGCCTGTTCAAATCAAGCGAAAACTGCCCTTTGGGAATCTGTAACCCAAGATGGATTTGGTGTAAACCACGCATGGAGAGGTGAGAAAAGAAGAAAATTCTGAAACATTTTCTTCCCGGATTTCAGGATTTCAGGATGACATTTTCAAAGGCTCCTTGTGCATTGCTGGATTACCCTATTGAGTTATCTCCAGTGAACAGGCGAATTCGCACCAAGCAGCACTTGGAGAGGTGGTGAGTTACTGCTGCTCAGAAAAGGCCAAATAAACAGATTACTCATGAGACCCAAGGTCAATATCCAGTTTTTCCCAAAGTAGTCAGTGAACAGAAATTCAAAGGGCAGAATTCAACCCGAAGGCAGACCAAAGAAAAGGTCAGAGTGTACGCTGCTAATTTTCAAGGAGACTCCCTAACCCAGTGGTTGGCAAACTGCGGCTCGCGAGCCACATGCGGCTCTTTGGCCCCTTGAGTGTGGCTCTTACACAAAATACCACATGTGGACACGCACGAACAGTGCGATTGAAACTTTGTGGCCTATGCACAGAAGTCGGTATTTTGTGGAAGAGCCACACTCAAGGGGCCAAAGAGCCGCATGTGGCTTGCAAGCCGCAGTTTGCCGACGACTGCCCTAACCCATTTAGATTCATATTTTATGAGAAGATCCTTCTGTTTGTGTTTTAATATGAAGCAGAAATAACAAGCTGACCAATCAGGAAACCATGCAAGTCAACATTCAAATGATGATGCAAGAGAAATAATTCCAGATGTAGGTGCCACATTTAATTTTGAAAGATAAAATGGAATTTCCAATAGAGGATTTAATAGACATAGAATTTTCCAGGAAAATAAAGGCAGGATTTGGAAAAAAAAAGTTCTAAGAATACTGATAAGGGGACACTGTCATGGTAGGTACCTCCATGGGATAGTATGGAAAAGGGGCAAAAGAAACAAGAGGCTACAGGGAAAAGAATAAGAACTGGTGTTAACCCTCTGTACCCAGGGGGAACTCCAGGGGGAACAATTTGGGGTTCATAGAATGCTTTGAGTCTGACAGGCATTTCATGCTCCAAACCTGCATGTCTACCCCCAGCCCTCTGAGTTGTGAGCAGCATGAAGTTTTCAATATGGAGCATGTACTTTTCAGAACACATCAATGAAAAGGAGTCCATATACCAGTCCAGATCGTGACCGAATTATCTCGCTATGAAGACATTTCATTAGCTTAGGTGGCTTACCTTGACTCTACCAAATCAGTATTTAACCAAGGGAGGGGGATGGAAGAAGGAGTTTTTGTTTGTTTTTAAAAATTGATCTTTAATCATTGGATGTACCTCAATTTGAAGAAGGGAAGGTAATGTATGTGTGTCACAAAGAATTCAGTGAAATGTTTTGCATCTTTGGTTAATGTTGTGATAGTCAAAGTGTTCTAAATCATTCCTGCTCTTGTGTTCCTTACAGTTGAACGGCAGGTACTAGGTCTGCCAAGGATGAAGTCAGGTGGAAATCTGGGACTAGAGGTCAAGTAGAACTGGGAGCACAATACCTCCTCCCACCCCTGGGAAAGGAACCCGGAAATGCAGGCTGTCATGCAATAATACCCATAACTACATTCTTATAACACTGAGGTAAAGGTTAATCTCCATTTTTAGAAGAAAATCGGCTATAAGCTATTTACTGAAAAAAGGCATTGGTGTGTGTATGGCCACAGAACCACCACCCTTCCACTCGAAGGACTAACCCAATCTTTGGATGCCTGGAATTCAAAGTGCTCTAAAATTAACTAGTAAAAACCCATTTTAACCTAAAGCTGTCTCTGTTTCACAAATTAAGGCTGATGGTTTGGGGCTGGGGGGGGGGGATGAGGGGGAGAGGATAGAAGGGGTAAAGAAGAAACCAGTTGCTCTATAAGGTTGAACTACAGGGGGAACGGATTTGGGGTTCATAAAATGTTTGCGTCTGACAGGCATTTCATGCTCCAAACCTTCCTGCCCACCCCCTGCCCTTTCATGAAGTTTTCAATAAGGAGCATGTACTTTTCAGAACACATCCATCAAAAGGAGTCCTGAAAAGCCTCAAAAACCCACATCCCCGCCTCCAATAAGCCAGAACTGTAGTATGAACTTGGGCAGAGAATAAGAGTTGAGGCTAATAGGGAGGAAATCTATTTGAGCAGTTTTTGGGAAATGGCCAAAATTTAAGAAGGGGGAGGGGAGAGGAAATACAGTTTTCCAACATTATTAAAGCTACTGCTTTAAGATTGCAGAATATCTTTATTTTTTTCCTGCCTCCGTGCCAAAGGCGTTAAAAGCTTTACTTCCGAAGCTTTGCGCTATACTATTTAAGGAATGGCAAATGGTTCCCACCCCCGGGGACCTCCGCCGGCCCAGCCTGGGAGCGAGGCAACGTCAAATCAAGGTCGAGCCCCACGGACAGCGCCAGCAGCCGCCGCCCCCAGCGCCAGCTCCGGCTCCGGCTCCAGGGTGGCTTCTAAATGCCGAGCCGGGGAGCCCCAGCCAGGATCCGAGGCGGGATCCGGAAGAGTGTCTGGCGGGCTTTCCCCGCACACCTCCGTCCGCCCAGACCTTGCCCGGGCCGGTTCCAGGAGGGCAGGGCAAGGCTGCGGGGGCAGCGGGGCTCCGGCCTCCACCACCGCCCGAAGCCCTACTTTCCTCGAAGACCCCGGAGGGGGCGCGGCGGCTCCTCCTCGGCCGCGGGGCCCCGCCAGGGCCGGGGTGCTCGCTCACCCCGGGGCAGAGGACCAAGCGCTGGCGCAGCTCCCGCCCGCCTCCTCCTCTCCGCAGCCGCAGCTCGGTCTGCAGCCCGGTCCCCGTCCGCCAGCGTCTGAAGGCGACACGGCGCTATGGCCGGCGTTTCCGAGCGCTAACCTGAAGTCGGGACTACACACAGCGGAGGAAAGCGGCCTCCTGGCTGGCTCGGAAAGGCCTCATCTCGAAGCCCTGCGTCCCAGACGGGCCTCTCGTTGGTCATTTCCATTCTGTGCTCAGGCCTGGAGAGCAGACATCTGTGCCCCATCACCGAGAGGCCGAGGCAGGTCTGGGCCGCACGTTGCCGCTCGCGCTCGCTCCCGACCCGGCCTGGCAGCTAATCCCACGACGCCCGAGAACAACACAAACATGCAAGTTGGTGCCCCAGTTCCAGAAAGATTTCCAGCGCGATGACTCAAGGCTCCCCGCGGCCAGCCTCCCGGGAAGGGCCAATCGCAGCCCGGGGGCGCAGGGGAAAGGGGCTTGGCTCCCTTGGCAGGTCGGCTCCCCTGGCTCCCCGGAACGCCCCTGTAAACACAGATGAAAACTGTCCTTTTGGGGGAAGCGACTGGAGTCTGATGGGGCCCAGAGAGCAGAAAAGGGGCAGCCTTCCTTACAGGCCGGCTCATTATTAAAAGCAACCACAACTCCCGAGTGTGAGAGAGGACAACATCTCCGCGTTCACTTTCATACTGGCAAATAGTCAACTACAGCACAACCAGCTCTGAAAATGATGAGGCATTTCTATTCCTCAGGGTCTTACTTTTTACGCTAAAATACTCCCCTCCTCTCTCCTCCCCTCCCCTCCCGTTTCCCTTCCCTCCCTCCCTCCAATGACTTCCTCCCTCCTCTCTCTCCCTTCCTCCTTTCCTTCCCCCCCTCCCCCCTCCCCTTCCTCCCTCCCTTCCTTCCTCCCTCCCTCCCTTCCTTCCTCCCTCCCTTCCTTCCTTCCTTCCTTCCTTCCTTCCTTCCTTCCTTCCTTCCTTCCTTCCTTCCTTCCAGAAACATTTATGACTAACTCCTATATGTTGTAATAGATTGAGAGCAGAAAGTTGGAAAAAACCTGAAGCCTTTACTCTTAAGTGCCTTATTATTGGGGGACGGTGGTGAGAAGGGGGGAGGAGGACCAACAATTTCAGTGCATTGTGCAATTGCTGTGATAGAGTGTGCCCAGAGGGTTACAGGAACATAGAAGCAAGTTTTAAATAATGCTGGAAATCAAGGAAGGCTTCCCAGAGGTGGCTGCATTTGAGTTTTGAAACCTGAGTAGACATCAGATAGAATGAAGAGAGAGAGAGAGAGAGAGAGAGAGAGAGAGAGAGAGAGAAAGAGAAAGAGAGAGAGAGGGAGGAGAGAGGAGAGAGAAGATCTGAACCATTGAATGGCTGCAGAAAGCAGGTGCAAGGAGCAAAGGTGAAAGATGGCTTATAAAGGGTGGCAAGGAGTCAGACCACACAGGTTTTATCTGCTAAGCTCTGGGATTTGACTTTTGTTTGGAAGCTATGGGGACACTCGGAAGGATTTTAAGCAGATGAGTGATTTGATTAAGACTGTGTTGCAGAAAGATGACTGTGGAAGGCAAAGGGAAGGAAGACAGCCTGGGGAGGGAGTGGAGGTGGGGCTGGGATGGACAGGAAAGACTCCACAGGTGTGAAAGAGGTGGGACCTTTAGGATTTGATGCCTGGTAACAGGCAGCAGAGTGAGGTTGTAGGCTAACACCCAGCTGCTGACGTGGGCAACACTGGGGATGGAGGGTACCATTCACCAAGAGAGAAGAATAAAGGAGGAACAGGTGGGACCAGAGAAACGATGACTTAAGTTTAGACAAGTGGAGCCTGTGATTTTTGTGGGATATTCAATGCGAATGTCCCAGGAGGCCAGTGAGTTGGATCTGTATGGTCTTTGGGGCATTATGGGGTAGCCCCATACAAACTAGGCAGTTGCCCACTTATAAGTAGAAGCAAATACAGGCATAGAGAAAAACTCACTGAGCTTGCTAGAGCTGTCCTAACAAAGCACCATAACACGAAGTGGCTTGAACAATAGAAATGTATTGGCTCGCAGGTCTGGAGGCTGGATATCCAAGTTTCATGTGTCAGCAGGAGGAACATTCTCCCTCTGCCTGCCGCTGGGGAGAGATCTGTTCTAGCACACTCTCTTAGCTCCTCGTAGTTCCTTGGCTTGTGGCAACATAACCCCGGTCTTCACATGGCGGTCTCCCTGTGTGTCTGTTCAAATTTCCCCTTTTTGTAAGGACATCAATCATACTGGAGTAGGGGCCCACCCTACTGCAGTATGACCTCATTTTAACTAATTCCATCTGCCCTTATTTCCATCTCCTATTAGAAATTTCTTTATATCCAGATAAGGTCACATTCTAAGGTAGTGGGGGTTAGGACTTCAACATGAATTTGGGGGGTGGGGGACACAATTCAACCATAACATTCACAGACTTGCCCTAACTGGTTTGGCTCAGTGGATAGAGCGTCGGCCTGAGGAATGAAAGGTCCCAGGTTCGATTCCTGTCAAGGGCATGTACCTTGGTTGCAGGCACATCCCCAGTAGGGGGTGTGCAGGAGGCATCTGATCGATGTTTCTCTCTCATTGATGTTTCTAATTCTCTATCCCTCTCCCTTCCTCTCTGTAAAAAATCAATAAAATATATTAAACATACACACACACAAAACATTCACAGACTTGCTGTCTCTATGGATTTGCTTATTCTGGACACTTCATATGAATAGAATCATACAGTATGGGCCTTTTGTGTCTGGTTTCTTTCATTTAGCATTTTTTTAAGGTTTAACCATATTGTACTATACATAGCATGTATCAGTACTTCATTCATTTTTATTTCAGAATAATATTCCATTGTAGAGATAGACTGCATTTTGCATATCCATTTCATCAGTTGATGAACATATGCACTGTTTTCATTTTGGGGCTAGTACGAATAATGCTCTGAATATCTGTGTACAGTTTTTTTGTGTGGACCTATATTTTCATTTCTCTTGGTTACAACCTAGGAGTAGAATTGCTGGGTCATATGGTAATTCTATACTTAACATTTTGAGCAACTGCCAGACTATCTTCCAAAGCAGTTACATCATTTTATACTGCCACCAGCAATGTCTGAGGGTTCTCATTTCCTAGTGGGTGTGAAGTGGTATTTCATTGTGGTTTTGATTTGCATTTCTCTAATGACTAATGATGTTGAATATCTTTTCATGTGCTTATTGGCCACTTGGGTATCTTCTTTGAAGAAATGCCACTTTTTTGATGGTGTCATGATAGACTTCAATAAATTCATTTTAAAAATTTTTTATTGATTTTAGACAGGAAGGGGGAGAGAGGGAGAGAGAGAAACATTGATGTGAGAGAGAAACATCTAACAATTGCCTCCCTCATGTACCCCAACCTGAGATCAAATCCACAACTTGTGTATGTGCCCTGAGTAGGAATCGAACCCACCACCTTTCGGTGTACGGGGTGATGCTCCAACCAACTGAGCCACACTGGCCAGGGCTTTAATAAATTCCTTTTATGCTCAAAGTAACTAGAGTAGCTTCTGTCATCAGTAGCTAAGAACACTGACAGATGCACTGGGTTCTGTTAAATACTATCATTTAAAATTTTTTTTCTATATCAACCTGTCTCATTTCATACCTTTAATTCAATACTAGTGGCTCGGTGCATGGATTCATGTACATTGATAGGAAATTAATTAGAAGAAATATTTTAATATTGCTATTCACCCTTTCTCTATAATAGATGTCAGAGATGAAAGAAAATTAGTAAAATCTACATATATAAAAGGCTAAGCGACCATCCGATCGTCCAACTCGTAGCTATGACATGCAATGACCACCAGGGGGCAGACAGTCTGACCAGTAGCTATGACACTCACTGACCACCAGGGGGCAGATGCTCAACGCAAGAGCTGCCCAGCTGCAGTGACTTAGCAGCAGCAGTTCTCAGGTGATACACCCTGGAACCAGAGAGGAGGAAGCCCGATTCTGGGGTGCGTCACCCAAGAACCGCCCTCTCGCAATCCGGGACCCCTCGGGGGATGTCGGAGAGGCAGTTTCAGCCTGATCCCCGCAGGCCAAGCTGAGGGACCCCACCTGCCAGAGGGACCCCGCTTACTCCGCAGATACCCTTTGAGCCAAGGCACCACCCCAGGTGCAGCCGGCTGGGGAGGGACCATGGGAGGTTGGTTCCAGGATGTGTCCATCCCTTCTCACCCAGTCCCGCTCCGCTGGCCACCTTCTAATTAATTTCCTTTCAATGTGCACGAATCCATGCACTAGAGCACTAGTGTATATGAAAATAATATATAAATTGATTAATAAATAAAAACATGATATAACAACAACAAGGACATGATATAAAAACAACAAAAAATGCTATGAAACAACCAAAATCACAATCGACAATGACAGATTGAAACACATGCGTGTGATTGGTGCCAGCGAGAGCTTTACATGTATCATGCATGTGCAAGTCAACGTTTATTTTTAAATTGCCAGTGTGGCCAAAACCGGTTTGGCTCAGTGGATAGAGCGTCAGCCTGCGGACTGAAGGGTCCCAGGTTCGATTCCGGTCAAGGGCATGTACCTACAAGGACATGATATAAAAAGGCGGGAGATGTGCAGGAGGCAACGACCAAAATCACAATCGACAATGACAGATTGAAACACATGCGTGTGATTGGTGCCAGCGAGAGCTTTACATGTATCATGCATGTGCAAGTCAACGTTTATTTTTAAATTGCCAGTGCGTGTCATATGTACCAGCCGGTTAGTCGGTTGGTCGGATGATCAGATGGACATACAGTCGGTCACTTAGCCTTTTTATAAATAGACTAGAGGCCTGGTGCACGAAATTTGTGTACTAGCGGGGAGGTGTTCCTCAGCCAGCCTGCCCCCTCTCACAGTTCGGGTGCCCTCAGGGGATGTCCTACTGATGGCTTAGGCCTGCAGTCTGGCCGCAGTGGCTCGGAGCAGGCGCCCCAGTGTGTGTCCACTGCGGGCCTGCCCCCAGCCATGCCGCGGAGGCTCGGAGCAGGCGCCCCTGTATGTTGTTTTCTCAGGCTTTGGGCTGTGCCTGTGTGTTGTTCTCTCAGGCTCGGGGCTGCACCCGGCCCCTCTTCCTGAGCTGGTCGTGACCGTTACAGCGTACCGACCTAATTTGCATATTACTTCTTTATATTTATAGATTGCTTTAGAATTTTTTTTCCTAAAGCATTTCCTATCCTATTGGAATTCCATCCACATTTCCTGGATGCAGACACAAAGTATCAAAGGCCACCACTAATGCAATTATGAGCACAGATACCAGCAGCCCTCCCACTTATTTCTCATCTCTATCCAGTCCTGATCCAGCACGCTGGGCCCTCCTGTGCAATGCCTTCCCCTCCCTCCAGACTCTTCCCACTCTGCTCCTCCCTTTCCTGTTATATTGCCAGAGCCACGTGGAATCTTATGAATGAGATCAGTGTCCTATTAAATCTTTGGATCATTTTTAATCAGTGCCCAGGACAAGGCTTTGCAAAAACTTGGCACACAATAAGTACACATGAAATTGAATTGAATCTTGTGCCCTATTTCTTTAGTTTTTGCTTTTATT